TCATTGGCAGTCAATTTTTTACAGTCTCCTCTCTACACTTTGTTGGAGACAATTGACCCCCTCTGTTCTCATTGACATCCATGTGATCTCCCCAGAATCCCCCCCTTCTTCAACGGCTGGCTTCTAAAGGATATCGAGAGAAAATTGAAGTATATTCAGGTGATACTAGACTACGACAGGAGCTCCTGATTACGACCACAAAACATAATAAACCACTGATTCAGCTTTGCCGTCATCGGTCGTTGAAAATATTTTTTGATCAATTTTTTTTGCCATTGATCAGGTTGATCGATAAGTTTAGGTAGGAGTAGGTAAACACTCTTGGAACACTATATTTCCGTGACTTTCCAGGCAGAATTTGATTGAGGGGAGGGTTGAGAGCCGTCTTTGTATTTAGATAAGGCTATGTAAATTAGAAAAAAGACCTATTGCTAAAAGTGTATCAAGAAAAGCGGATCAGCTTAAAGTTAAGCAGGCTTTGTTTAACGATTAACAATGGCCGTATATGGCTACTTTGGGACAATGGCGGAGACAGCTTTAAAATACACGTGGGATTTTTCAAAATTTCCGATTATCATACGAGCGGCAGATTCAAACCATCGACAAAACTGATGATAAGACAAATCCTCCCCGTGGGGGTGATTCTGGTAGATTCTGGCAAATTGTCACGGTGGGGTGGATGGTGGGGGGACTGTAGCTTTCGTATCTGAAGTAAAGAGATGTCACCATTTTTTCCTTTACATTGCTTAAAGCTGGCGAAAGATATATTCAATTAAAGGCTCACTGTGCGATGCAAAGGTAATGAGAGCATGTGTAACCTGATATTAGCATCCGAAGCCTACCACGCCGTTGAATCATGTAGAAGACTATCGTCATTTGCTCGATTGAAACACTCTATTTACCATACAAATGCTACCTGTTTACCGTAGCGTAAATGGATAAGCCCAGCAAAAACTTAACACGCGAAAAAATCACACCCCTTGATTCGTTAAACGCCGCCTCGCGTGATTGAGAACAAACGTAAAGTCCCAACGTCCGCTTTCTACAAAGCGAGTGAGTTTGGATAAAACATGTGCTCTGACTGGTGGAAACAGTGTGCTTTATTATAGAACGGATACACGAAGAGAAAGCTAAGCAGTGTGTCTCATTTCAGCAGGTG